CCGGGGTCTGGGAGGGAAGACGCAGCCGGGGCAGGTCTCTCGAGCCCTGGGAGGAGAAGAAACGGGCCAGAGAGGAGAGGGCGAGGGTGGAGGATTGGGGCGAGGGAGGTCGCCGTTCTTTGCCCAACCCGGTACTAGGATGGCATGGTGCTTGGTGCCTTCAGGGCTATTGAGGCTTGAGGGTCCATTTTTCAGTCTCTGCCCCTGGGGCCCTGGGTAGCCCTAATTCAGGTAGTTCACCCAACCCCAGGGAATTTCCAGGTGATCCGACCCCTGTGAAGCATTTCCTGCCAGACTCAGAGAAGTTGAGACACTTTCCCCAGGTCACACAGCATAGATGCTTAAAGGAAGAAGTTGCTGGGACGGCCTCCCTCATCTTCCCAGAAGGCATCAGACTTTGAGAGGAGCACCTTACCCCATGTGACCCTCCAGTCCCCTCAGATTCCTGAAGTCATGGGCTGGCCAGAACAGAGGTGATCCCCTAACCCGGCATGGAGGACTGGAAGCCCAGCCCTCTCATCAAGCCCTTTGGGGCTCGGAAGAAGCGGAGCTGGTATCTTACCTGGAAGTATAAACTGACCAATCAGCGGGCCCTGCGGAGATTCTGTCAGGTATAGAGATGTCCCAGGCCTCCCAGGGTCTCTCTCACAACTTTACCCCAGCCTGAATGATGGGCACTGGGACCCACATTGGCCCTGCCTCAAGTGGGACAAGGGCAGCAGGTTCCTAGATGGGGAACCTGTGGGTGGCATGTCCCTTGCAGGTGATGGTTTGGATCCAGAGTTCTAGAATCGGAACCCAATACAACCTCCTAGGTTTCTGACAAAAAAAGAAATCCGATCAGGAAGGTGCTGCCCAGCGCACACACCTGTCAGGCAGTTGGGGCGAGGATCCAGGGCTTCTGACCCCTAGTTTGGGCCTCTGGACCTGGCTCCGTCTTTACGAATTAACTGTGGAGGGGACCACGGAGTTCAAGGCAGTAAATGGAAAAGCACCGGAGCTCGGGGTAGAAGGGCTACGGAGGAGGAAGGGTTGGGGGAGGCTGCCTGGAGGGGGTAGTCGCAAACCTAGTCCCTCGTCAAGGGAGTAGAACTGAGCAGAGGAAGAGACTGGTCCCTGGTTCCCATCCTCACCGCAGCCAGGGCCCTGCTTTGCAGAAGACCCTCTATGATCTGGAGATCTCTTAGCTATCCTCGTCCCTCCCCTCAGACAGGGGCCGTGCTTTTCTTGTTGGTGACTGTCATTGTCAACATCAAGTTGATCCTGGACACCCGGCGAGCAATCAGTGAAGCCAATGAAGACCCGGAGCCAGAGCAAGACTATGGTGGGGCCAGGCTGAGGATGGGGTGGGGAGGCCCTGGGATCGAACAGCGGGAATGGCCAGCAGATCCCCAGGGGTGGCTGTGCTGGGATGCTGTCTCCATCTCTTGTTGCACCTCACAGATGAGGTCTTGGGCCGTCTGGAGCCTCCACGGCGCAGAGGCAGTGGTCCCCGGCGGGTTCTGGATGTGGAGGTGGACCCGAGCCGCAGCAAAGTGTACGTGGCAGTGGATGGCACGACGGTAAGTGGGCCAGGGTCTGCTGTACAGTCGCTCCTCTCCACTCGATGTGGTCCCCTGGCTGCAGGGTCCTCTGCCTGCCTGGGAACTACAGCCTTGGCCGTTTCTAGCTATGTGACGTGGGAGCCCTAAGTTCTGCATCTGCAGACTAGGACTAGCGATTTCCACTTGGCAAGATGAAAGGAAGAGTATGTGAAATGTCTGTATGTAGTGGGATCTCAAGAATGATACTTACTATGCAGTTAATTCATTAATTTATTTGTTTTGTAATCACTCTTTCATCCCTTTGGTGTCAGCCTTGTGCTGGGCATTGGGGACCTGGAGGTACTCAGACCTGGCCCTACTTCGAGGGGCTCAGTCTAGTGGAGGATTGTGGTATCTCTGGGATGAGGCAGAGATGATCAAGGGCTCTAAGAGCCACAAACGTCATTGAGGGAAGAGTTGTACAAATATGTCATCTGTTTTGCTGGGGCTATCATGGAGGCTGCCTAGAAGAGGTAGCCTTCGAGCTGAGTTGGAAGAGGACTGTGAACAGAGGCACAGGCAGGAAAGGAGGTTTCACAAAGCTGGTGTTTTAAGTGTCCAGAAGACAGAAGCCTTGGGACCACCAGTTGGCATAATGGCTGTGTCACTGGACTCCCGTGTAGTCGACCATGGTTCGAGTCCCAGACCTGGTGGCCTAAACTCATGCCGGGCGCGTGTGCGTGTGTGCCCAAGATCCCAAGAGGAGAATGGAGGAGAAGGGATTGAGGCATGGCCATCCCCCTTGGGGGGGTAATTTCTCACTTTCTGTCTCTTGGTCTCTCTCTGTCGTTCTGGCGAGCCCACACGCCCTATAACAAACCCCCCCCCTCAAAAAAAAGAGAAGCCTTGAATGCCATAGTGAAGACTCAGCCTTTTTCTCTGTCACCATGTAGGTGCTAGAAGATGAGGCCCGGGAGCAGGGCCGAGGCATCCATGTCATCGTCCTCAACCAGGCCACGGTGAGGTTCTAGGGATGGGGACCTAGGGGGCTACAGCTGGGCTCTCCTTGCAGATGACTAACTCATGAGAGCTGTGTCCCTTGCCAGGGCCATGTGATGGCAAAGCGTGTGTTTGATACATACTCACCTCATGAGGATGAGGCCATGGTGCTGTTCCTCAACATGGTGGCTCCTGGCCGAGTACTTATCTGCACTGTCAAGGTCAGTGTCTGTGCCCTGGCCCTGTCCCCTAAGCACCTAGCACCAACCCTGCTCATGGCCCTTGGTTCTCTGTCCCTGATATGGCACAGAGGGAAGAGCCTCTGGGGGAAGGCTCCAATCCTGTTGTTGTCATTTGTATTAGTTCAGCAAGTAGTGACTGAGCACCTACTATGTGCCAGACCCTACTCCCCATGCTGGAGACACAGTAGGACACAAGCTTACATTCCAGCCAGGTAAGAGCGAGGAGATACCCCCAGATGAGTAAGTGCGTGATGCCAGAATACGGTAACTTAGATGACGAAGAAAAGAAAGCGCAGGAGACAAAGCGATGGGATACGTTTTAGAACGGGAAGGCGTCTCTAAGGAGATGATGTGTGAGCAGAAAGCTGGAGGAGGTGAGGAACAAGCCAGGCGAGCATCTACATGGAGAGCATTCTAGATAGAAAGGACGCAAGTGCGAAGGCCCCGTAGCGAGAGCAAGCTCGGCGTGCTTGAGGGACAGCAAGGATGCCAGTGTGGCTGGAGCCCGAGAAGGCAGGACAGGAGGAAGGTGGCGGGACGAGAGCAGGGGTCCGGGGACAGAGGTACAGATCGTGTGGCTTCATGGTAAGTGATTTATTCACGGGCGGCCTTGGGTTATTCTGTTTCCTCATCTGTGAAAATTGCATCCGCAGAGGATTGTTGTGATAACCCCAGCAAAAGGTGTTTCCTGGTGCGTGGTGGCCTGTTGGTCTTCTGGAACTTTCCCAGTCAGTCTGACCACCTTCTCTGGTCCCCTAGGATGAGGGCTCCTTCCACCTCAAGGACACGGCCAAGGCTCTACTGAGGAGCCTGGGCAGCCAGGCCGGCCCTGCCCTGGGCTGGAGGGACACCTGGGCCTTCGTGGGACGAAAAGGAGGTGCTGGCAGCAGAGGCCATCTGCCTTGTAGGATCAAGGGCTTGGGAGGGGCAGAACCTGGAGATGGGTGGGATAGGGCACAAGTAGGCATCAGTGACAGTGGGCTGGATGAAAGGGGGTCGGGGGATGGACGAAGCCCCCAGGCTGGAATCTGGGCCCCCATTACTCTTGTTCCTATGCCCTCCTAGGTCCTGTCCTTGGGGAGAAACATTCTAAGTCACCTGCCCTGTCCTCTTGGGGGGACCCAGTCCTACTGAAGACAGATGTGCCGCTGAGCTCAGCTGAAGGTGGGGTCAGGGGGGCTGATCTGTGGGCAGTAGAAGCCTCCTTGTGGGGCTTTACCCCGATTTTGTACCTGGGGCTCTAAATCACATTGACTTCATGCCCCCTGTCCTGTCAACCCGTCCCTCCCTCAGAGGCAGAGTGCCATTGGGCGGATACGGAGCTGAATCGTCGCCGCCGGCGCTTCTGCAGCAAAGTCGAGGGCTACGGGAGCGTGTGCAGCTGCAAGGACCCCACGCCCATCGAGTTCAGTCCTGACCCGGTGAGTGGGCAATGAGGCTTGGATTCCGTCCCTGCTTAGCAGGGGGCCCTAGAAAGATCTGATTTGGGCTGTCCCTTCCCCAGCCTGGGAGGCAAGCAGGAGCTGAGGATTTATACCGAGCTCTGACCAACAGCGTCAGGGAGAAGGGACGGGCTGGGTGAGCAAGGCCCAGGTCTGGACTTGGGCCAGGTGTGTGGAGAAGCTAGAACAGGGAAGACCGTCTTCCCTGTCCCTGTCTACTCTGGAACTCCCACCTTGTCCCCTGCTGGAGAACTCTAACCTAGGTGGGGATTCCAGTCAAAGGGATTAAGCCAGGAGCTAAAAGCTGTTTCTTTCTCAGCTTCCAGACAATAAGGTCCTCAATGTACCTGTGGCTGTCATTGCAGGGAACCGACCCAATTACCTGTACAGGTGAGGCCGAGAGTGGATGCTTAGCAAGTGGGAGGAGCTTAGCTCACCTACCTGCAGGAGCAATTCCTGAGGTGGGCAGAAAGGCGGCAGATTGTAGGCCCTTTTTCCTGTGTGTGAGCATGGGGAATCTAGGCCTATATATAAACTTGGGGGGCCCCGAGCTAAGGGGACAAAGAGGCTCTAACCCATCCTTGGGCTCCCCAGGATGCTTCGCTCTCTGCTCTCTGCCCAGGGGGTGTCTCCCCAGATGATAACAGTTTTCATTGATGGCTACTATGAGGTGAGTGGGCCTGGGGGCGTCGGTCGGAGCAGAGCTCCAGCTGCAGGTGCTGAGCGGTGAGATTTCCGGGGACTGGCAAGGGATACCACCCCCCAAGGGCCATGAAATGTGAAGGACTTGGCATGTTGGGGCCTGCAGAGGTGAGCAGGGCAGAGCAGCCCCACATGGTGACTAGTGGCCATGCCTCCAGGAGCCCATGGACGTGGTGGCGCTGTTTGGTCTGAGGGGCATCCAGCACACCCCCATCAGCATCAAGAATGCCCGCGTGTCTCAGGTACTGCCTAGGCAAGGATGGAGGGCAGACACCGGCCCTGCCCTCCTCCCCAAAGCTCATGTGCCCTGTTCCCACTCCACCCAGCACTACAAGGCCAGCCTCACTGCCACTTTCAACCTCTTTCCGGTGAGTACTAAGGATATAACTCGTGGCCCTGCGGAGGAGAAATGTAGGCACCAGGTCTGGTCCTGTTGAACAGCAAGCTCTTCCCCGTCCTGGGCCTCATTCTCCTGCTCTGGAAAATGGGAGTGGTGGTGCCTCTGAAGTGGAGCGGAGGAGCCCACAGACAGGAGGGTCCCTTTGGGGTCATAATATTCCACTCCTGTAGGAGGCCAAGTTCGCTGTGGTTCTGGAAGAGGACCTGGACATCGCTGTGGATTTTTTCAGGTGAGGGGGGTGGTGCTCCACCTTGGCTCCTGTGAGCTGCACAGAGCCCTGGCTTGACCGGGCCTCCTGGGAGGAATGCAGTGAGGTATCCTGGAGAGTTCTGGGATCCTGAGCAGAAGTGGCAAGGCAGGTATTGGGGCTGGAGATAGGGTAATGGGGACAGTGGGGATTTGGTAGAAGGAGGCACGGCCTTCGAGCCCCAGCTCCAGCTCCCCCAGCATGACTGTGTGACTGGGCATGTCCTTGTCCCTCTCTGAACTCTCAACCTGGCCTCTCTCAGTTTCCTAAGCCAGTCCATCCACCTGCTGGAGGAGGATGACAGCCTATACTGCATCTCCGCCTGGAACGACCAGGTGGGCTGGGCTACCAGGGGCCAGCAGGGGAGCCTTTAGAGGTCCTGAGCTGATTGCTTCCACCGTGACCCTGTCCCCAGGGGTATGAACACACAGCCGAGGACCCAGCACTGCTGTACCGTGTAGAAACCATGCCTGGGCTGGGCTGGGTGCTCAGGAGATCCTTGTACAAAGAGGAGCTCGAGCCCAAGTGGCCCACACCAGAAAAGGTACCTGTCAGGGTAGGGGGAGTGGGCTGGAGTCCCCTACCAGCTTGAAATGTCTTAAGTGTCAGAATCCCCCACGCCCCCCATCCCCCCAGCTCTGGGACTGGGACATGTGGATGCGGATGCCTGAACAACGCCGGGGCCGTGAGTGCATCATCCCCGACGTGTCTCGGTCCTACCACTTCGGCATCGTTGGACTCAACATGAATGGCTACTTCCATGTGAGTGGGAGGCAGGGGAGTGGGTTGCAGTATGGCAGAGTGGTGGAGAATGTGGACCCCAGAACAGCCCTGGCTCTGCTGTGTACTAGCCATGACACCTGGAGGAAATGACTACTCTGCTTTTGCCTCAGATTCTTGCTCTGTAAAATGAGGGTAAAAATATTACCCACCTTGGGGCCAGCAGATGGCATAAATGGTTACATCGCTGGATTCCCATGTAGTTGACTGCAGTTTGAGTCCCAGACCCAGCAGGTTAAAACTCATGCTGGGCACGTGTGTGTGCATGCCCAAAATCCTGAAAGGAGAACGGAGAGAAGGGGGGGGGGTGATTTCTGTCTCTCTGTCTCTCTCTGTGTCTCCAGTGAGCACATGTGCCCTATAGCAAAAATCTTTTTCTCTAAAAGAAACCAAAAAAACTACCCATTTTATAGGGTTATGAGGTTATGAAGTTTCAGTGAATTTATATATGTAAAATACTTGAAACTTTGGGCTGTATATAGGGGTTAGATGGGCTATTTTATTTTCAGATTTTTGCCTTAGAGTGTGTCCGCTTGCTAGAGAGAGGCAGAGGGGAAGTGAAAAGTGAGAAATTACCCCCCAAGGGGGATGTTCATGCTGTAATCCCTTCTCCTCCATTCTCTCAGGATTTGGGGCACACACGCACACACATGCCTGGCATATTTTACAGGCCACCAGGTCCAGGACCTCAAACCATGGAGTCAGCCATGTGGGATCCAGTGCCTTAACTACCACTCCACCGGCTAGCTTCAGCTGGGCTTATTTTTATTATTACTATTCCTAGCACTGGACTGTGAGTGTGGGAGGTGTTTCTCCCTCTACGTACTGTCCAGCCCTGTGAGCTCTGCCTTCTCCTGACCTTGCAAGTGCTGGGACCCACGCCTCAGCCTAAGATGAACGGGGAGGTCTCCAAGCCCCACACCCCATCTGCCTGTGTCGAGAGGGCCATTCCATAGTTACAGCAAGGGAAGCCTTGAGGCAGCTCAGCTCAAAAGAGTGGATAGCATCCAGCTTAGAACCTCCTAGAAACCAGAAGGGCCCTCAGAGCCAGCTAATCTAAGAACCCCATGGATCTCCCAGAGGGGGCAGGTACCTCCCAAAGGTCACTCTCAGTACCTGAGTCATAGCAGTGTCCTTTCTCCTGGCTCAGCCTGTCCCTTTGCCCGCCATCCCCGGCTCCTGGGCCTATTCCTGCTTTCCCAGGCTCTAGAAGAACAGGCCCCGGGAGCACAACTGAGGACTGGGACTAGCTCACGGGTCAGGAGCATGAGCTGCTCGTGTGGGCACATGTTCTCTAGCGATGAGCTCATGTTCCCAGACAAGCTAGTGAGAGCTCGCCAAGCATGCTGAGAAGTCGAGGGAAAGACAGGAGGAAATCTGAGGGCCCTTTACAGGTCGAGGACTTCCTTCGTGGGTCTTGTCCCTATGTGGTGAGTCAGTGAGCAGGTGGGGGCTGGACAATGCAAGGCCCTGATTTTCCCCCCTCCCCACTGCAGGAGGCCTACTTTAAGAAGCACAAGTTCAACACAGTTCCAGGTGTCCAGCTCAGGAATGTGGACAGGTAGGGGCTGACACAGGGGAAGGGGAGACTTATCTATGAGACCAGTCTCTGACAGTCCCAACCAATCCTGGGTCCTATGTGTTTACCCCAGGCCTGCTGCCCCCAGTTCCCATACGACCCCTTTCCTATCTAGTCTACCCTTGGAACGTGAAGGCTAACCCCCTCCTGACTTGTTTCTCCTTCCCCTTCAGTCTGAAGAAAGAAGCTTATGAAGTGGAAATTCACAGGCTGCTGAGGTATGGTCTTGGGCCATGGGGCGTGTGGCAGGAAGTAAGGTGGCTCATGGGGGTGGTGGCCCCGTAATTACCACTTAATTTGTAGGGCCCCAAGCAAAATGAAAAGTCACTTAAAAATTAGTAAGAGTTTCAAGATGGCGACAGCAGAGCATCAGCCAAGCACAGGGCCCTACGTGACAGCCCCCGAAGCCTGCTTTGTCTTGGTCTTGTCCCCCTCCCCACTGCAGTGAGGCGGAGGTTCTGGACCACAGCAAGAACCCTTGTGAAGACTCTTTCCTGCCAGACACGGAGGGCCACACCTACGTGGCCTTCATCCGGATGGAGAGAGATGATGACTTCACCACCTGGACCCAGCTTGCCAAGGTACTGTCCCCACGTACACTGCTCTGAGACACCGAGAGCCTTTATTCTGGAATGGTCAACCCCAGAAGCTTCTCTTCATCCGTCAGAACCCTCTTCCGACCCCTCTGTCCAAATCCATCTAGCAAATGGACGTGACTGCTCAGGGAAGATAAGGGCTGGGCCAGAGGTCCTCAGTGGCCCCTCCCTACAGCTCACTTGCCCTGTGTCTGCCCCCCACCTCCTCCCCAACCAGTGCCTCCATATCTGGGACCTGGATGTGCGTGGCAACCACCGGGGTCTTTGGAGGTTGTTTCGGAAAAAGAACCACTTCCTGGTGGTGGGGGTCCCAGCCTCCCCCTACTCGTAAGTAGCCCTTTTATACCCTGGGAAATAGGAGCCTACTGGGATTGGGGGATGTTGTGAAAGTCCTCTTCTCTGTACATTCTCGTATCTCTCCACAGAGTGAAGAAGCCACCCTCAGTCACCCCTATTTTCCTGGAGCCACCTCCAAAGGAGGAAGGAGCCCCAGGAGCTGCAGAACAGACATGAGACCTCCTCCAGGACCCTGCAGGGCTGGGTACTGTGTACCCCCGGGCAGGCTAGCCCTTCACCCCATCCTGTAGGATTTTGTAGATGCTGGTAGGGGCTGGGGCTGGTTTGTTTTTAACATGGAACTTAATTACTAACTCCACAGGGAGGGTTCCCCTGCTCCAACACTCCCGTTCCTGAATTGGAGGTCTATTTATTTCCTTCCTTATTAGAGAAGGGCAGAAGTACCCGGGAATCACTGGGAGTCCTGGGCTGATCCTGCCCCGTGTCCACCCCCTCCTCCCAGGCCTGGCTCAGGATCTAACCTATTTATTGACTGTCCTGAGTGCCTGGATTCCTTTCTGGGCTGGGGTGCTGCCCTGAGGGTGGGGCTGGCTCTTACTCAGGAACCTGCTGTGCTCACGGCCGTGACAGGCCCAGCTGGGGCCGACACGCTGACACAGACTCACTCAGAGACCCATAGACACTGGACCAGGCCTCTTCTCAGTCGCCTCTTTGTCCAGATTTCCAAAGCTGGATAAGGTGGTCATTGATTAAAAACAGAGAAACCCTCTGGGATGTACTTTGTGAGTGTGAGTGTGTGTGCGTGTATGGGGGGGTGGGGGTGGGGGGCATTCCTTACTATCTTCCATAGGATCTGTCTTCCATTTGGGACCATTTGGCCACCAGGGGATGCCCAAGCCTCAGACTCCAGCGTTTTTCCCCAGGCTCCACCCTTGGCCGGTCTGACGTTAGCGTAGCCCTGCCTTTCTCCGGGTTGAGCTTGAGCCTCTCCACGCCCCTTTCCCATTGTTTAGCTGCTTCCTGCCCAGCTTGTTGGACCAGGCACCTGTTCCTAGAGATAGAGCAGGAGAGAACAGAAAGGGATAGTTGGGTTTGGAGAGGGAATGGGAGAGCAGGTAAGCCTAGTGGGGCGAGAAGGACGTGGATGAGCAGGACTGGGCTGCCGGTGGAGTAGGGATGTCTGTGGCCCTCAACACACACCATACCCATACCGTATCTGGACATTTTGCTGGAGAAAGGGGCCATGGTGTTCATCAGATTCTCACACAACCACTGACCCAAAGAGATTAGGACGACCAGAGTCAGGGTGTCATAGAAGCACAGGCAAATGGGTGGGATTGTTGCGAGGATGTGACCAAGACAGCCCCAAAGACAGGGCATGTGGGATGGGATCTGTGAAGGCAGTAGGATCAGGACACCGAGTGCACCTCTTGAGAACGGGTCTGCCAGCCTCTGTGTATGCGTAGAGCCTTGGCCAGGGAGGCAGAAACTGACTGCAACTCCCGCCCTTCCCTCTGCCGTTCGCCCCTGCCTCTGCCACCGGTACCTGGAACCCAGATCAGCGATACATGAGTGGTTATGGCTTGGATGTTCTCGCCACCCCGACGCCTTCAGTGTTTGCTGGAGCTCGAGATAGTGCCTGAGGTGGCGTAGCAGCCAGACCGAGCAGCAGTTAGCTCGTGACATGGAGGCCCGCCCTGGGCAAACAAATGCCTGACACAGGCACCTGGGGGCAGATGGTGAGAGACACCGCATACTGGCAAAGGGGCAAGGCGGGCACCTAGCAGGCTCCTGGTCTGGGCCTCACAGACTGACTCTCAGGTGCTCTGTGGCTCTGGCCAGGTTACTGCTCCCTTCGGGGATTAGCAAAGGGGTGTTAGTTCTGGGCCCAACTTGAAAAGCCCAGGAAGAAGGGCCCAGGAGCCAAAGGGAAGTGAGGAGGAGGACTGGGCTTTGCTTGGTGACAGAATCCTCTGGCCTTAGCCTCCCTCCACAATGCTGTCATCCCAGGCCCAATGGCGATTGGGTCTGTCTGGGACATTCTGGCAGGTGCCTCTTCAAGTAGAACTTGCACCATGTCATCCAGGACTGTACCAGGCTCTGCAGTCAGATAGTCTGGGCTCAAATGTAGGCTCAGCTCTTCATGGAAGCCTGTGGGTCTGGGCAAGTGGCTTGGCTTTTGTAAGCCCTCCTGGAGTTAAGACTAAATAAGGGCCAGCAGGTGGCATGGTGGTTATGGGCACTGGACTTCCACATGGCCAACCACAGTTTTGAGTCCCGGACCTGGCAGCTTGTGTGCTTACTTTCTCTCTCTCTCTCTCTGTTCCCTCTCTGGTCCCGTTCGCCCCTGCCTCTGCCACCGGTACCTGGAACCCAGATCAGCGATACATGAGTGGTTATGGCTTGGATGTTCTCGCCACCCCGACGCCTTCAGTGTTTGCTGGAGCTCGAGATAGTGCCTGAGGTGGCGTAGCAGCCAGACCGAGCAGCAGTTAGCTCGTGACATGGAGGCCCGCCCTGGGCAAACAAATGCCTGACACAGGCACCTGGGGGCAGATGGTGAGAGACACCGCATACTGGCAAAGGGGCAAGGCGGGCACCTAGCAGGCTCCTGGTCTGGGCCTCACAGACTGACTCTCAGGTGCTCTGTGGCTCTGGCCAGGTTACTGCTCCCTTCGGGGATTAGCAAAGGGGTGTTAGTTCTGGGCCCAACTTGAAAAGCCCAGGAAGAAGGGCCCAGGAGCCAAAGGGAAGTGAGGAGGAGGACTGGGCTTTGCTTGGTGACAGAATCCTCTGGCCTTAGCCTCCCTCCACAATGCTGTCATCCCAGGCCCAATGGCGATTGGGTCTGTCTGGGACATTCTGGCAGGTGCCTCTTCAAGTAGAACTTGCACCATGTCATCCAGGACTGTACCAGGCTCTGCAGTCAGATAGTCTGGGCTCAAATGTAGGCTCAGCTCTTCATGGAAGCCTGTGGGTCTGGGCAAGTGGCTTGGCTTTTGTAAGCCCTCCTGGAGTTAAGACTAAATAAGGGCCAGCAGGTGGCATGGTGGTTATGGGCACTGGACTTCCACATGGCCAACCACAGTTTTGAGTCCCGGACCTGGCAGCTTGTGTGCTTACTTTCTCTCTCTCTCTCTCTGTTCCCTCTCTGGTCAAATTAAAATAAATAAAGTTAAATAAAATACCTGAAGAGTACCAGGTAGACCAAAACTGGAGAATAAATGAATTTCTTTCTGAAATCTCCAAAACAGGGATGGATCTGTGGCTTTGCCTCAGTGAGAAGGGTAGGTAGTCTGGACCCTTTGCTAGGGACTCTGGGAGGGCTTCCCAGAGCCTATGGGAGTGAGCCTAGGTAATAATTCTGATCTTCTCTCCGGACTTGGGCACAAGCTTGTTATTTTCATAGCTTTCCAGTCCAGTGCCTCCACCAGGAGGGGGCAGTTCAGGCCAAAGTCCTCCCATGTTATGAGAACTTCCTCAAGGCCCTGTTGCCCATCCCTCTTAGGCTCCATCCCTGGCCTGGAATCCAAATTAAGGGGGAAAATAGCCATCCACACCTACCATACTACCCTTTTGCTATCTTTCCAGGGGACTTCTAAGTCACCAACCCCATAGGAACCTGAGGCCAGTTTAGGCAAGACAGCCCCTTCCCCAAGGATACACAGAGTGCAAATAGAAACATTTCATTGGTTTATGAGATCCGAAGGCCTTCTGTACATCCACTCCAGCTCTGCTGATAGGTCCAGGCCGTAAGGAGCCTTTCTCAACCCCCAGTGGGGTACAGGGATCATGGATTTAGTGAACAGGCTGGGGGAATGGGCAAGAGAACTGGCTACCCTTGGGGCTCTAGAACAGGTAGGCCCCAACTCCACCAATGGACGGGAAAGTCAGCCACAGCCTAAGAGGGGTGCTGCCTAGTTATCCCCTAGTCCAGAGCAGTAAGGGAAGGCACTCTCCAGCCCAAGTGACAACTGTTGAATCCTACCCCCACCCTGATGATGGCCACGTGAGAAGGCCAGGATGTCTTCCCAGTCCGTGTAGCAGCAGCAGCGGTCGGGGCAGAGCAGACTTATTTCTGATTGCAGTACAGATACATAGACACGATCATGGCAGCCAGCTGGCGGGGAGGAACAGGAAAATGAGGGGACATGCGTTGGTCCCCTGCCTCCCAGATGCCCTAAGGAAGCTCCATGCGAGGCCTCAGAGAGGGATCCAGCAGCCCTGGTCCGGTGGCAACAGCCCAGCCCAGCCGCCACCTCTGCTTACCTCCAGGCCCCCGATCCCGGCTGCCACACCACCCACGGTGGCTGCATTGGTTTGGATGTCATACAGAAGCTGTTTGAAGCAACCCTTGGGGGAGGGAAGAGTGCATTTATGGTCAAGCAGCTGCCCTACCTCTCATCCCCATTTGCCACTCCGAGGCCATTAAAGCAGTCCCCATCTGTTCATGCCGACCCACACCTGGACATCCTTGCTCTCGGCCTCCTCCCTGGTGCAGGGTTCCCCAGCTGTGCCATTGGCTCTGTTATTGCAACAATATGGAGGAAAGCCTTGCATCTTTGTGAAGTAGGGTGAGCCCTCGAAATCTGTGTAGTTGTTGAAGCCACAGCACTTGAGCTGGAAACAAGGTGGGGGAGGTGTCAGTGAGACCTTGTATCTTTCTCTCCATCCCCAGACCTCCCCCAGCCCACCTTACCCCATCCATGGTGACGTCCCACACTTGGGTGAAATCCTTCTGGGAACCATAGTCTTTCTTGATGGCAGGAACCACCACCACCGTCAGGAAGTTCTCAGCCTAGGTGGGACAGGCCAGTGTCTGGGGGCTGGTAGGGAAGGTGGCCGTGCACAGGCCACAGCCCATTTCCAAGGCTTTGCCCAGTCTTCCTCCCCTGCCCCATCCCAGAGCCTCACCATTGAGGTATATACCAGGGCCACCACGGCAGCTGCAACCTCAGCAATGAAGATGAGGAGGAGGATGAAGAAGAACTGAGTGGGGAACAGGGGTCCAGGTTTTAGGGAA